AATTACCGGACCAAAGTGACACAGTGCTTGTTTTTCACCAACCAAAAGTCTAAACCTCACAATTATCAGTAAAATAAAACACTTTTCTGTCATTTGACTAATTGATATTTTCTAAACGCATCACCTGCTGTGTAGGTAAAACCAGGATCTGCAAAGTAACTATAGTAGCTGGAGCTGTCAAATATAAAAGGTACAATATTTATAGAGTTTTTCTGAAACCGACCTGTATTGGAAATTCCTAGGATACTGATAAAATGTAAATAAATGTAAAATAAATGACGTGGTGTCAGGTATCAAGGAGTATGTGTGTGCACCAGCCCGATACCACATCATTTATTAGCCCCGAAACAGGACGCAGCTGGTTCCCAGCAGAGTGTGACACCTTTCTGGTACTCGGCCAATATGCAAAGTTCAGGTATCGGAATCCAATCGAATTAATGGAAAAAATGATATCGGAGCATCTCTAAATATGTTCCTCCAGAATGTAGTGGAGAAGAAGTATAAAGTAACGTCTAAGTGAACTACATTTACCTTTTTAAAATGTAGTGTAGTGGTAGATATCATTTATAACAATGTGATAAACAGACAAACCCAAGCATCTCTTCATAATTGTGAAGCTGTTACCAGTGAACGACTTTAGTATATTAACATTATATTAGTAGACACATTTTACTCCACTCGACAAACTGATTTTACATAATTATACACTACATTTTTAACATCATTTCAAAACCTGGAACCAACTTCCATGTTGTAATCGTCGGTATCTGTGTGTTCAGCCGTCCACTGTTGGGTTAAGCTGTTAATGGTGGGTTTCAGTAGAAAACAAGCGCCTCCTGTAAATGTTTGATAAACCTGTTGCATAAGATCAGAGCCGACTCTGTCCTCTGCGAGTCTTCACTCAGTCTGTTTCCACGGAGACGTTGTTCATCCATTAGGTCTGAAGTCTGAGGTCTGAGGTCCCTGCTGCCTTTCTGAGGCACAAAAACACAGGCAGAGGAGAGTGACCTGAAGTGTGTGTGTGTGTGTGTGTGTGTGTGTGTGTGTATGTGTGTGCGCTAAAGAATGACAGGCTGAGGTTTTTTTGGTCTTCCGATGCAGAACTCCGCATGGAAAACGCACAAAATCTGCGGGACTTCATCTCTCCTTCCTATGACTCCCAAGAAACCTCAGCAGTGGCTGCAAGTGGTCGGACATGCAGGTTTGTTTGTGCACTCTCACATGTCTTTTATTTTGCTCCTGAGCTAAAAAAAAAAAAATCACAGGGGTAAGTAATGTAGTAAATATTACTTTCTGCTGAGTGTTCCTTTCCTTTGCTTCGTCTTCGCAGGGAGCTTTCATGTTGGGGATTATGGTACACTGCTGAAGAGGTTTTGTAAGGGGGAGCAACAATGCTACCTCAGGCTGATGGAGGACGCTCTGAGTCCCTTTGTTCCAGCCTACCACGGTGTGGTGCAGCGGGACGAGCAGGATTACAACATGATGGATAACTTGCTGACCCATTTCAGCACACCTGCCATCATGGACTGCAAGATGGGCAGTCGGTGAGTTTTAACAGGGCAGTTTTTGTCACTGAGAGCAGTTGAATGGGGCATATTTGAAGAAAACATAATTATTTAGTCATAAAATCGGCATAAGAAAATCATAAATAGTGTTTTAAATAGACCATCAACTTATTTACAATGCTCAGTTCAGGCTCACACATTTAGAGGCTGAATACAACACCTGTAAATTTACACGTTAGCATCTTAAAGCAAAATGTTTCTCTTTGAAGCTTTGTTTTTTCACAGTAAAAGTAACCCTTTCATATGCTCTAGTCACAATAAAGACCACAAGGCTCTGTCCTTCACAGCACATACCTCGAGGAGGAGCTGCTGATGGCCCGAGAACGCCCCCAGCCTCGTAACGACATGTACGAGAAGATGGTGGCTGTGGACCCAGAGGCCCCGACAGTTCAGGAGCGAACCCAGCAGGCAGTGCTGAAAACCAGGTACATGCAGTGGAGGGAGACGCTGAGCTCCACAACAACTCTGGGTTTCCGTATCGAAGGATTCAGGGTAAGCTCCGAGGTTCTGGTCAAAGATGGTTGTGTCAGGTCATTCATTCATGCTCCTACTCTATGTTCATAGTCTGATAGCTGCAGATTCTGCATTATAACGCTGTGAAATGTTCATTTCTTGTGCAGAAGGCAAATGAAGAATGTCACACAAACTTCAAAAGGACCAAAAGCAGAGATCAAGTGATGGAAGCACTTAACAACTTTGTTGAGTCCAATACACACATTGTGGTGAGTGTGACCTTCACCGGCTTTCATTTACTCATAACAGTTTTTCCTTTCCTCTTGTAAGTCTTGTCTCTTTCCTTTCAGTGGGGCTATCTGAGACGGTTGAAGCAATTGCGGCAGGTCTTGGAGACGTCAGACTTCTTCAGAGCACATGAGGTTGGATGTGTTTGTTAAACTGTGTGGTAGATGTTCAAATCTATGTTTCCCATTGTTGTTGGACGGTGTAGGCAGGCTCAGGCTGATAAGCACATTTGAGCAGTTGTTTAGCCTTTTTTTAACAGCTGTTTCCCTGCAGGTTGTGGGCAGTTCTTTACTGTTTGTACACGACTGGACAGGCCAAACAGGAGTCTGGATGATTGACTTTGGAAAGACCGTGGCCTTGCCGCCACACCTCACCGTGGACCACCGCACTCCCTGGGTAGAGGGCAATCGTGAAGATGGCTATCTGTGGGGTCTGGACAACCTCATTGACATACTGGCCAATATGCTGCCGCTGACCTGAACGCCACTCAAAATGTGTGGAAATGTACTCTCAGTCCTTCCTTCACCACTCATAAGTGAATGACTGCAGATGAACTGGTTTCTGAAATGGTTATTGTGGGAATGAACTGAAAATAGGAAGGCGTAAAAAAAAAAAATGGAGGATGTGATTGATTATAATAACACATTTGCAAGATGTGTTATCAAGTAAATACTTTGCAGAACAGATTTATTTTCATTAAATCAGTCCCTCAATATAATTTAACGCAGATTCAATCAATCCCTGTGAATTCTGCGCAACCGCAACCAATAACCGCAACTTTTCCCCCGCAAATTTGACCAATAATTGTAGTTTCCCACACAAAACAGCGAGCCCTACGCCACCAAACTCACTTCCTTGTTTCTTGTCGTGAAGATGCAGACCAGGCAGACATGTACAACACAGATGTCTCATATTTGCCCCCAGAATCCTGAGCGTTTAGTTAAGGTTACTTGGAAAACTCATTGTGATTTTATTCTAACTGGAACAAGTTGCCTCAGATTTTTAATGAATTGTAAAATTTTAAAAAACAAAACAACTATTGTTCAATTTACAATTTTCACTTTCTCTCACAATTTCATAGCAAAAAATACCATCGTAAGTTTTTAGAAAAGATCCTGTGAAATCAGGCAATCCCCAAAAAGGCCCAAGCAATCCTGGAGCCACTAGTAAATTAGGCGCACAACACGGCTCAAAAGGGCACTGGAGATTTGTGGACTCTCTGAGCAACCTGAGCCTTTTAAAGTTTGACCACTACATAGACCTACAATACTAAGATTACCTTGTAAGATCCAAACACAGTCTCAGTTTTCAGCCTCAGCAGGTCTGACTCGACTGTTTTGTGATGACCTGCTCATTATTTTAGTAAAAACATGACACTAGCAATTATAAGCCAATAATATGGCTGCCACCTCTGACTTGAGATGATCAGTAATGTCACACTGTGTCATTAAATTGGTGCTAAAATGATGATGCTGAGAAGTGGACTTTTTTTTCTCCTGCATTTCTTTCCTTTAATTTGTTTGCCACTATTATAATATTATTTGATACGTTTAAAAATGTTTTATTTGAATGTAGTTTACATAAATATGGTTGGGAAATAATTTCACCATTTATGTACTTGAGTCTTAATTTCACCGTTAAGAAAACTACTTCAGTGGAGTCCAGATACATGTTAATATCTGAGACCAATATTAGTACATACATACATAGTGATTTATGGAGTCAACGGTTTAATTTCCACATTGGATTTTATATTATTGTCTTGTTTTTGTATTTTTAATCAACAGCTGGGAAATGTTTTTAGTTATGCTAGCAGCTCTAGGGATGGTAATGTTGGTTGGTCAATCCACCATTTTGTTCCAGACTGACCTATCTGAAGATAAAGCCTAATGACCCATGATCCCCTGACGTTGCCTCTAGCACCATGATGGGGTTGACATTTACGAGAAATGTCTGGACACCTATTGGACTGACATGTTTGGTTTTACCTAGCGCCATCAAGAGGTCAACATTTTAATTTGTCCTTTACTTTATACCTGCAAAACTAACGACAATCCCATCATCCTCAGCTCTAGCGCCATCAAGAGGTCAACATACATCACAGGTCGCTACCCTATGCCCCTATTCAATGTACAGTGTTTTTACTTTTATCAATTTAAACACCATTGACTACAGTTCATGATATTAAAAGCCACATTTTCAGATCAGTTTAGTTTTAATGAACTCTCCTTATTTATTCTTCCTGCATCTGACAGGAAATCTCTCGTAGAAATGTACATCTTTTTGTCTGAGTACTGGTTACTAAACCTCATGAAAACCAGGTGTTTTTATCCTCTTCTGAGGCGTGAAGGTTGATGGTATTTCAAGCACTGTTCATCATTGAAAACATCAACATCAACCAATTATAATTTTCCAATTTCTTCATTCATACATGACAACTGATCAAATAGTCTAAATGAAACTGCTTGACAAATTGCAGTTTGACTTTAGATGAAAATTAGCCTTTTGGTTATATTAGCAATGTCCCTAAATCAACCAAAAAGACATATGTGTTAGTACATTGCATTTTAAGATGACTAAATAAAATTGTGTAATTCATTGTTAATTCTGTGCAAACATGTTGAGACTTTGTGTGTTACAGCACAAACTTAAGCTCAGCATCTCTTTCATGAAGTCATTTTATAGTTCAGTCATTGGTTATTGTTAAACGTATTGTACAGTAATTCCACTGAGAAAGTAGTGCATTGATGGATTCATGCAGTACCTACATACATATACAATCATTAAAATAAGTCAAAGTGATAGACATGCAGTGCTGTAAACCCGAACACATCAGAATATTAAACTGAAGTTCAACACCTGATAGAGGACTGACTGGAGAGATAAAGGCAGATGTGCTCTCTCTTCCACACCTGTCCACTCCTGTCATTCAGCCATCAGACGGCAGGCAGAGGAAACCCCTGCCCTTACCTGCAGCGCCAGACGAGATTAAAGGAATAAACAGACAGAGAAACTGAGAGTCATGCTCAACAAGTCCTCCCACACAGTCTGCAGCAACTACAAAAAGCTCTCTGAGAGGATCTGGAAGCTGCACAGTGCAACCACAGTGGGATCTGAGCAAACCCCACTGGAGCACTTTTGAGCTGAGTGCCTTGCTCAAGGGTACATCAGTGGTGGTATTTATAGAGGGACAAGCTCTTCTCTTAGTTAACACCTAATTAAACTAATTAAATGTATCCATCTGAATTAGCAGGCTTCTGGTGATGCTTTGTAATGTTAGGGTAACTGCTAAATATTAGTTTCAGTAGCAGAGGAGAATCAAGGTTGGTGCTATACTTCACTCAAGAGATGAAACACCTTTTTCCAAGCTTGGTAGATGTAACCGAGTGATTAAAGGACCAATTATTCAAAGCAAACCCTTTGTCACTTGTAGCTCTTTAAGGTGGAGTTAAATTGAGGTGAATTGAAGGCTTGAAAAAGAAGAATAGTGATTTCTTTTTTTTTTTTTCAAATGAGGAGATGACAGCACCAGTGAGGGTGTGCTCACAGATGTAGGGGGTGGGCTAAGGGATGATGATGTCAGTGTGAGACAGATGAAACATCAGACAGCCTTTCAGTTTGCACGAAAAAACTCAAGAGGCTTCTTCTCGCTGATCATTGTTCAGCACATCCATGGAACGGGCACAGCAGACCAGCAGCGCTCAGGGAACGGACACTAATGTCAACGAGACCAGGTACTACGTGAGGTTTTTTTTTACTTTAAACTTTAAGTATTTACTCTGGGTAACATCATGTATCATAAACTGCTACAGACTAAAATTATTTCATGAATTTAGTGTTTTACTATCATGAACGTCTTTACAATTAATTGATTTAACCAAATCTTTGCATGTTTTCAGTCAAATTGTTTGTGGTTGAAAATGTTTTGTATTAATAGGGGAAAAATAAAACATATACAGTTATTCCAAATTGAATAATAAAATATTTACATTGTAGTGAACATACTAATACATTCTTTTTGTTTTCTTACAGGCTGTGTTCTTTTTAGATGCATCATTTCTCTCCTAAGTGATCAAAGCAGCCCCCAGTAACCTCCTCTAAGAGATGTTTTTTCTGTCCTGTACGATCTTAGAGCCAAATGCATTGCAGTAAACCAAAAGTGCTTTATATAGCCAGTGCATGTATGTTGTGTGGTGGGTGATGCACGCAACACATACTGTGAGTGTGTGACTTGGCAGGACTGGTGGAGGTGGTGCATGTTGTTGCAGTGGTGTATTTGTGCTGCTGCTGTGCTCATGGCTCAGAGGAGGGCTGCTGGTGGCTGCTGCTGCCCCAGGGCGCCCATGAACGAAGACAATGCCCGTTTCTGCCTTCTAGCTGGGCTCATCCTCCTCTACTTATTGTGTGGGGCAGCCATCTTCTCAGCCCTGGAACACCCCTTTGAGCTGCGCGCCCGCCGCCTCTGGAAACAGCAGCTGGACAACTTTACCCAGCGATATAGGGTGAACCTGGGTGCCTTGCACACTCTGCTGCGTCAGTACGAGGAGGCAAACGGAGCTGGGATCAGGGTGGACACATTGAGACCCCGCTGGGACTTTTCTGGAGCTTTCTACTTTGTGGGCACGGTGGTCTCCACTATTGGTAAGTTTTTTTTTTGAGATGCTAATTTAAAAGTTCTTAGATGATCCGTATGAGATACCAACTCTAAAATGATACTGTTTCTGAACCTTGACCTTTTATTTTGTGTTTCTCTACTCCAGGCTTCGGTATGACCACACCAGCGACCATAGCTGGAAAAATATTCTTAATCTTCTATGGTCTCATTGGCTGTGCTGCCACCATCCTCTTCTTTAACCTCTTCCTAGAGAGGATCATCACAATGTTAGCTTACATCATGCGCTGGTGTCATGAGCGTCGGCTGAGGTGTGCTGGAGTTGGGGTCGTGTCAAGCAGGGAGGAGTCGTCTGGTGAGGAGGATAGCCTGGAAGGCTGGAAACCGTCTGTCTATTATGTGATGCTGATCCTGGGCGTGGCATCGGTTGTGATTGCGTGCAGTGCCTCCACTTTGTACAGCTCCATGGAGAACTGGAGCTATGTGGATTCTCTCTACTTCTGTTTTGTGGCCTTCAGCACCATCGGCTTCGGGGACCTGGTGAGCAGTCAGAGACAGCAGTATGAGTCTCAGGAAGCCTACCGGCTTGGGAACTGCCTTTTCATCTTAATGGGGGTCTGTTGTATCTACTCACTTTTTAATGTCATTTCCATTATCATCAAGCAAACTCTCAACTGGATCGTGGGTAAGCTGGTTTGTTCGGGGCGCCATCAGCCCTGCTCTTGCTCTACACCTGGCGGCTGGTGGCTCTGCTGCCCCTGCCTCCAGAACAAAAATCACAACCAAAGGCGTCTGCCTGCACACCTCAGGCAAAAACGCATAAAACGCAACACTGTGCAGCCCATCTCGTCCCACTGCCCTACAGGAAGACACCGGTACACGGAGGGCTCGGTGGACACAGTGTGTGACAGTGAGACGGATGCAGGTGCAGTGGCCGTTGGCCGTCGTCTGTCAGGAGAGATGATCTCTGTCAATGAGTTCATGGTGTCCAATAAGGTGTCTCTGGCACTGCTGCAGAAGCAGCTGAGCGAAACTGCTCATCAGGGCCCGCGGCAGAGCTACGGCCATCAAAACGGATTCTCTGGTGGTGTGGGGGCCTTGGCCATTATGAATAATCGCCTACAGGAAACCAGTGTGGACAGGTAGCACCACTAGGAGGTTCTTATTGTGTACATTGTTTTGGATTCTCTACGGTATACTGAAGCTCCGAAGTCAATCATTTGTCCTCTCAGTATGACAAAACCAAATTCTGAGAATAGAATAATTTCCCTCTGATTAGCACCTTTGGGCAGTTTCAGTGGAAGTCTATGCAGATAATACCAGACCTCCAGCATGGACTGGACATCAAATAATTTATTACATTTTGTTATTTGCAGAGAAAGAGAGCAAAAAAGACGAATGCAATTTAAAGAATTCAACATCGCTGCGAAGAGGGGTCTGATGTCCTGAAGTGATTGGCTCATACAAAAGCAATCAGATGAAAGAAGCAGTGAAGGACCACTTAAAGGGGCCTGCTGATTTGAGAGTGCTGCACATGTCCCCTGAGCTCCTCAATCAACGAGAGGTGGTAGTCAGTTTTAGTGAACATACAGACATAAACACGATCTCCTCTTAGATAACTAGGTGCATATATAAAACATTTGAATTGTGATTTGTATCTAAACAGAGCTTCTCAAAACCACTACAGGAGCTCACAAGTACCGACAAAGAGACATTTTAATTTGTTGATTGCTCACAAGTCGCCCATCTTGTTCCATCAGTGCACGTCATTGAAATTCAATGTAATCATGAAAGAGCGCTGAGATCCAGTGTTTTCAAAAGAGCACATCTAATCAAACGTGGCCTGTAGAGGACGTCCTTATGTCAATAAGTGCTGCACAGATAGTCGCAGGATCACATCAACAGAGTGGAGAGCGGAAATACAGGCTCTCCTTGGCTAGCTGGAGGAGATTCTTTACTATGCAAGGAAAGCCAGTTTAATCCATTCTGTATCATCTATGTGGCAGATTGTCATCAGCGCTCGGGATGATGAGAAAAGCTTCCTCCTTAGAGATCCTACAAGAGACAAAGTCATCCATTTTCTTCTAGTGGTCACACTTGATGTGTTCACTGTTACTAACTTCAAACCAATTTGAAAAATAGCTCTTTAGTGAGCTATTGTGGGTAAAAAAAACACTGCACGTCGTCAGTCAAATATTCTTTATTTAGTTTTAAAACAATCATGACTCTTAACATGTAATGTTTATACACAGTAAATTACTCACTGAAATAATTTAACGATGCAGTATGATGCAGATAAAATGACCCATCCTGAAACTGACCTGTCCTGATGCTGTTTGTTTTATCAACTATATAAAAGATGAATAAGGCATCACAGTACATATGATTCAACTTATGGAAAAAACACATTTCACATACACTGTATTGAAGAATGTGTTTAGAAATATGGTTAATATATAAAGAGAACCGCAAAAAAAAAAAAGTGTACATGTTAAACTTATTCATGTAAAATATATTGTGATCAGTCCGTAAATATAGATTTTAGGGTATTTGGCCAATTGTTACTTTGAGTTCAATTATTAGTCACAATCAAACCGCGACATGCTTTATAGCTCTCTAAAATAATATATCAAATTATTTTAAGAAGTAAACTTATTCCAGTAATCTCTCCAGCCCAGTGCATTTTGCTCTACATGTTTAATATAAAACAAAAAGGAAAACACCTCTTCAAAAAGAGTTTAAATTATGTGTGAAATGTATTTTTTCATGTGTATGTGTATGTGTCGAGATTTAATTAGTAGAATTAAATATTTAATCAGTGTTTATTTGCCTGTCACTTTTGACCACGAGGGGAAAAGATAAATTTGTGCATTCCCATCAGCTGGCCAGCTGTTAGCACTGTTAGCGCTGTTAGCACTGTTAGCACTACCTGTTGAAAAACAAACTGATATGTTAGCTGCATGCTAGCTTTTGACTAGCACTGATAACGTTTCGGTCAACACATTTTTCCTTCCTGCATAGGGAAGGCAAACTGAACAACTTCATACAATAAACTTTTTTATCATTTATATTATTATATCTATTCTTAACATCATCTTTAAAATATAACCCTACATATACTCATGTTCCTTATTTTATCCAATGAAACTTTACAATCTCACAGTTGGCTGTTATTCATTTTTACAGATCATTTGTATCTGTATCTTCTGTTCGCTGAATATGAGGCAGAAGTTTGTTGCTGGATTAGTATCTCTGAGTAAGTTTTACAAAATGTCCTTCTTGTATAAATATAAAATGTATCAGGCTTTATCTATTTTTGCATTGTATTTGTTTTGACAAGATGCTGCTTACTGGCACGATGCAAACAAACGTTTGTGTCTGTTAATCATCTCCCTTTTTGTCAAATTGCACACATGAAGAAAACAGTTTTAATACTGACATTAATTACAGTCCCTCCATGGATCCTTGGAGACAAATCCTGCTGGGCTTCTCAGGAGCCTCCAAGGCCCTGGAAGGACACACACAGAGAAAATAATGGTGAATGTACTGTGCACAGTGAAGGAAGTAACATGTTCTGAAGGTTAGAATGGGACGGATGTGTAGAGTTTGTACTCACATTTGGCAGTGTGGGGTTGTGTGTCTCTCTTTGTTGATAGTAAGCGGAAATAATGCAGTTCCTTCTGTAACACACAGAAGTAACATGGTGTCATTTCACAATACAGGGTATAGATGCACACACACACACACACACACACAAATATAAACACTCATTTTCATTTCTTACTTGCTCTGTATGCCTCCACCTGGTGGTAATCCAGGGATGACAGTGGATGCGAGGACTGTGAGGACGGACAGCAGATCAGGTTCCTCCCCTCTGGCACACAGCTCATCATAAATCTCTGTCAGATATTAAAACAAAAACAAACATATAAGAACATTTGGAAAGTTTCTGGCAATTAGTTCATACACGCATCAAAAATGGTCAAAACAAAATACAATTGAAATTTGAAAATGGCTAAATAATCTGCAAAACTACCGGCAGGCGGCCCCTATAAGGCTGCCTGCCCTCATAAACCAGGTACAAGAGTTTCATCTTAGTGTGATAAAACCTCAAGAAAACAAGAAAAGTGTTAGGACTTCACCTAGAAACCATGACAAAAACAGGTCTCAAATGCCTGATTTGCCTAAAAATACCTAATGACAGTACATTGCTCACAGCATCCCTTCTGTATCATTTATACCCACACACCTGCTACTTTGGACTCCAGCAGGTCCTCCAGTTCGGCCTCCTGGTGTAATGCCTCTGCTGACAGCTGGGGGGCTCCAGGGAAGCACAGCAGGATGATGCTGATGTTGTCCAAGCTGCCCTGTGGAGAGAAGTGGCATCAACAGAGGTGAGTAATAATAGCTGTCTGACCTTACAGATGTCAACATATCAAACATTATTTCATCCTGGCCGGTTTTAGAAATAGATCATTTTCACCTCAAGGTGCGTGTGCCAGGTTCACAAAGATGCAGTGGAGCAGGAAAATGTAAATGGAGTGTGGAAGAAGCAGTGACATTTTGAGGTCATTGTGTATATCCAAGCTGTTACATAACAGAGTGACATTATGGACCTAACGGCCAAACAGAGTGCAGCATGGATGCACATGTGGCGTGTGTTTATCCTGATATATTTCTTTGACTCTACAGAAAACATAAACAATAAACCCAGTTTCTTTTATTAATTGCCTTGAGATCTGTAAACCCTGGTTTTTAATAGGGTGCGTTTAATGAGGGATACATTTGTTTCACTTATTAGGGTAGAATATATGCATCAATTAAAATATGGACAACACAATAAAGCTTTTCTGTTGTTGTTAAATCTAGCAGCTATAATGAGTGGAGCTGGCTGTAGTGGAATAATTATTCTGAAATTATTCTTTATGTAAAAGGGCGGTACAATTTGCAATATGTTCTTGAACATCAACCTTCAACCACCTGACACTCTCAGAGTGAGAGTGGCTGAAATAAGTCCCCATAGGAACCCAGAATAATCCCATATAACCTGCTCTGACACCTCTGCAGTCTATTTTAAGGTGGTCTGTCACATTATTATACCATGAACAGCAGCCACAGTTTAAATTAGCCTGAACCAAACCCCTAGCAGAAATCCGGGCTACTTTTTCATTCTAAATGTAGACTATTACAGCCAAAGATGTTATTTCTCTGGTTCCCTTTAAGTGACTAATATGTGAAAGGAGGCGCTTATAATGACAAACCTACAATCACCTCACTAATCTCACCTAGAACTGAAGCTTCTTGCATTTTATTGTTTTGTTTTCTGGTGCGTAACTACTGTTTACGTTCTCACTGCCGTCATTTTCAGTCACTACCTGTACAACAACAAATGCCTGACAAAGTAAAGTGACTAGCTAGTTGAGGAAAGTGGAACATCTAGCTACAGAGCTAGATATCTTTCTCAGGAGATGGTGGAGAGCAAAATATTCATCATTGGGTGGGTAGAAACACAGCTCCAAACAAATAGTAACACTGTAATATCTGCTGAATGACAAGATAAGAAACTGTTTGCTAACAATTTTGCCATATTGACTTAAAAGGTGACAATATTTCAATATCGCTTTGCACAGATTTCACCAACTTCAACTTCCAAATTACTGGATTTTCTCAGTTTCATTGCAGTGCCAGCAACCACACGTTTATACAAACAGAAGGGCAATATTAAAAAAATGAATAAAACCATGATAAGATCTGCACCTAGTAAACTTTAAACCATGTATCTTTATGAACAAGTCATTTAGAAAAGACTTAATCAGAAAGAAATAATCAGACCAACAAGTCCTCAGACTATTTAAGAAAAATGAGGGGATCCAGCACAGACCTCTGTGGAACTGCACACTCTTTAAACAGCAAGATATTATGATTATTGTAATATATGTAATCTACCAACTCTACAAAATGTTCCTCGTGTAGCACCTGTCAATTCAAAGCAGTTGGATAGAAAAGTTAGAAAAATAAGAAAAGATGTAACTGGAGTGAAAGCCTGAGTGAAAGTCAAAGAGACTGATTGTGATTGACTAGGTTTATGTACTATTAATCAAATAGAAACTGTCCTTGAGTTACCTTCATAAAGCTGAGCTCTTTTCTCTTCATAAAGTGCCATGACCCCGGCATCCTTCAGATTAAGCCAAACCAACTCAACACAGCCACAGTTTAAGGGATTATGTTATTACATAAAATCCGCAGCCCATTGAAAATTATGTAACACAGTTTTACACTTAATTGTGTTTTCTTTTTATAATCAGTTAAAAGGATTTGCCATTTAAACGACTGAACATGCAGAAATGTATAAGTTCCTGGATCACGTTGTAGTTATAAAGGATTAAGATAACATGTATGCTGGTTTTAACCAGCAGGTTCTGACCTTATAGAGACAGAGGTCAATGACTTGAGTGCAGACATCCCTCAGGTCAGTGCAGACACGCAGCCGGTTGTGGATGAAGGCGCACAGCTCCTCGTTGCTGATGGTGTCCCACACCCCGTCGCAAGCGAGCACCAGGAACTCATCTGCTGGTGAGCGTTCCACCACGCTCACCTCTGGCTCTGGTGACACCATCTGCTGACTGGGTGTCCGGTTCTCTGCCCCCTTATAGCTGAAGTCCCCCAGAGCACGGGACACTGCCAGGGAGCCGTTGATCCTTTGGATGGTCACAGAGCCGCCTGCACTCTCTATACGCTCTTTCTCCAGAGGGCAGTAAGGTTTGTGGTCCTCAGTGGAGAAGCAAACCTGGCCAGACCGGCACAGCATGGCCCTTGAGTCACCACAGTTGGCAAAATAGATGTAATATGGCGAGATGAGAGTGGCCACCACAGTGGTACCACCCCTCTCCCAGCCTTCTCGACGGGCCACAGAGTGCAGGTGCTTGTCTGTGTGCAGGAAGCCCTCGATGATGGCTCCTTTCACCTTTTCAGGGTCGTCCTCTGGTCCTATTCCCCCTGTGTGCACAAACAGATACTATGTTGGAGTACTGGTTTTTGAATCTGGCATTCCATAAAAGCACATCAATATATACAATAGGATAGATATTTGCAGAATACAATGAGAAATTATCAGTCATGATATTGACGTCTGATAACAAGGAAAAATCATCTGTCTTTCATGGTAATTGTAAGTGTCTCTTCTCGATGAAGACAAAGGATAACAATACTCCACATATTTTATCTTTATTATTATTATTTTCATTCATGCATTTTCAGTTGCATTTCTTTTACCTGTAGCCAGGATATGACCCAGAAGGTGCTGGGAGCAGTGCTGTGCCACGGTGCTGCCTGCATGACCATCGAACACGGCGAAGAAGTTCCAGTCGGCCAGCTCTCCACCCAGCTGTGGCACACAGTTGTGGAAGTCCTCCATGTTGGCCCTCCAGCCCTGCATGCTTCCTAGGGCATAGGTGAGGCCCCAGCGGGCACAGCCCTCCTCTGCAAGCTTGTCTAGGACCGGCCGGTCCAGGTAGGGGCTGGGGATGACCTCCTCCTTCTCCCCTTCCCCTGGCTGCTCTCCTTCTGCTGCTCCTCCACGGCCCCCTTTAAAGAAAGAGCTGACCCTCTTCTCCGTCTCTTTCACCAGCTGCCGCATAAACGCAGGCATCTCCACGCTGCCCTTCCTGGCTGTCCTCATGGCTCTTGTGTACAGCTGATGTGAGGAGAATCTTCTTTTATCCCTGCCCTGGTGTTTGTGGCTGGGACGGAGGGCTGAGATGGGCCTGATGGTGGGCCTGTGCAGTGTCTGCGTAGCCCTGCTGCTCCAGGGCTCAGAGCATGGCTGCCTGAGCTGATGGATGTTCTCAGTGCTGGCTGCTCACCCCCCTCTCTCTGCTCATCTCCTTCGTCTCCTCTCTCCTCTCCCTCTCTGGAGACCTCACTGATCAGCGCTCTCTCCTCCACTCATCCTTCCTCTCCGCCTTGTTTGGTCTCTCCTCTGTGCTGATGTGATTTCACCTTCTCCCTCGCTTTTTCATCGCACTTCCCTCTTTCACCAGCTCTCCCCTTGCCTTGTTATTTTCCCCTGTCTCCGCTGTGATTGGCTGGCTATTTGTGTGCACCAATCCCTGCCTGGCTGGCATCGCCACAGTCATGTCTGAGCTCACCCTCTCTCACCGTCCTCCTATCTGCAGCTCGGCCCCTCCCACATCTTTGATAATCTCAACCTTTGATCGGTTGGGATTATGAGCTGCTACTGCTGTGGATTACAGGATTGTCGGCCATTTAGCAAACAGTGTGTGACTGACTGTGGGAAGAACAGAGAGACGGGAAAGAAAGCTTGTTTTCATTGTAAACACAGATGATCCCTTTAAACTGATCTTTACATTTTAGACATTAAACATGATGACAGTGCATGTACTGTACCTGCGCTCATCACCAATTAAAACTTGACATCAGAGCTCCATTTATTCTTTAATTATGATTGGATCTAAAATGTCCACAATGTAATAAAATATTTTGCTTCTCATGACCCTGGACATCCTGTGCACTTAACATGGATTTGTATTGATATATAACTGTATATATATGATATATTATTATTATGTTTATATTATTTGATCAAATCTGTATGTTTTCTATCGTAATGGAGAAAATTAGAGGTTTGTAACTATACCAGTTAAGATAAATAGGCAAAGATTGCAGCATCTCTTAATTTATTATTTTATTTTGAAGCAGAAATGGGATTATGGTCTTGATTATGCACGTCACCATGACATGACTTAGAGCTGTTTTGTTTGGCACATTCCCTGAATAACTGCTTAAATCTGTGGAGTCAGCCAGGATCAAATCGCTTGCTCTGTAATTCTGCACCTGTACTTTGATTTCGGGAGCCGTCAGGCATGGAAAAGGATGGAAAAACTGGTTTAAATGAATCAAACTCACTTGTCATAATGATGTTAAAACACCTTGTTACAGAATACAATTCATTCATTTTCTTTCTTATCATTTTCTGGGTCTTTTTATGCCTTTAAGTTTGACAGGTACAATTTAAGAGATGGACAGGAAAGGGGAGGGAGAGAGGGGGGGTGACATACAGCAAAGGGCTGTTGGTTAGAATCGAACCTGGGCTGCTGCTGTAAGGACTTCAGTTTTAGTATATGGAGCACACGCTCTACCAGGGTACCCCTACTATACAGGTTTGTGTGTGCTCCAAATACCCAGGTGATACATGAACATGGTATATACCTACACCTGCAAAAGTGGCAAAATTATACATGAGTCAGCTGTACATGAGTCTGTACATGAGTCTGAGCTGACACGTCAGACTAAAGCGAAATTGAAGGAATTCCAGCAAACCAATGTGAAGGACATACTATTAACAGTACACAAATAGTGCTCATATTTATCCCCCTCATTAGTCTGTACCATACTATTGTACCTGTAATAACAATAATCTGGATTTTACTGCAGTAGACATACACAATTCTCACATAATGAACCATGCAGAGAAAAATGTCTGTGTATCTGGCTTGTATTTAAAGTGTGATATGCTGTGTTCTCTAGTTATGATTCAAGCTCTATTATAAATTCATTAGTTTGTTATGAAAGCTGCAGTATACAGCTGGAGGAGATAGCAGCCAGCTGACACTGGCTGTGTTCTTATTAATCCTGATTGGTGATGAATTTGACATTAAAAGCTGCTTCTCACTGACGTAGCTGCAAAGCGAAGGCCTCTGGGTGCAGGTCGGCCTCCAACTGACTGAAGAACCATGACAGTCTCTGAAAGCTGAGGGACATGTACATGCTGATGTCTCAGGTTCCCAATTTGAGTGTGAGTGTGTGAGTGTGTGTGCGTGTGTGTGAATCCAAACAGGGGGTATCCAATACAGGATAAAATTAGGCCAGCCAGGCCTTATATTGCTGACGGAGCTGGGGTGGCCAAAAAAAGCCTGGGGTGCAAGCCAACAGTGGAAGCGCAAGGAAGAGAGCAGAGCAAGCAGGATCGCCGCTGAAATGGCCACCAAACGTAAGGAAATAAATTGTGACAGCTTAAAGTAAAGGGAATGAGAGCAGACACGGAGCTGGTCAGAGTCCAGCTGTCAGGTTGAGAAGGAAGATAGAATTAATTTTTTCCCCCTCTGCTGGGCAGGTGTGAATACAGACAGGATGACCTGTCACATACTGAGTGCAGCATGTCTTTCATTTAGTGGACAGACGGACAGAATGGGGCTCATCTAAATGAGACCCTATTGCTGATTGAATGTTGTTGTTTGTTTCATTCTTAAAGGTCCAAATTGTCCCATAAGGGAAGATTGATAGCAGTTTTTCTTGTCAGGGCTATTTTCCATATTACATTTTACAATTTCTATTATGATTAGAATACGAGTTAGATTATGGTTCTGCCATGCTTGGAAAATGACTTCATAGGTCTAACAGCACAAGTATGAGTCTCTGTTTCTGCCAGTGTCTTAATGTGCCATTAAATAAGAAAACAGCTGATTATGAGAACAAAATGCTGTTTAGTATTGTAGTACAGTGTTTGTGTGTGTAAATGCCTGACAAATTGTTGTGGTGTGTGTCTGTGTGTGTATTTGTGGCATCCTGAGCGTTTGTTTTAATCAGATAATTACCTTGAGATTAACACTGGAGTTAGGAGGCTCATTTGATGTTTCGGTGGTTGAAGATCTAATATCATAATGTGACTCATTATTATTCCTTTATTTATTATTCATTCAGAAATGTGCAAAGTGTGTTATTAAAAGCAACACATTCATTCTGAGACATCTTGAAATAGCTTTCTTTTTGGCAAGAAAATAGATGAACTGCCTTGGTTGTCCTTGTTTTGAATGTAAAGCAAGATTTTCCCACAAGTTAGTCCAAGGAATGCTAACATTGTAAAGATTAGCACATGTTGTTGATGGTTTTATTTTTTCCTCTCCATAATGTACTGTATCTTTTTGTCATCCTGTTTCTAACTTTTCTCATGCCAGATATTCCAAATAGAAAAAGCTGTTTGTTTCTTGGAACATACAGCCAAACAGCCAACAGGCACGTTTAGTGGTTTAGTTGCTGTTTAAACTCATATGTTGTTCAAAAAGAGGGTACGACTGTTCCAAAAATCTATGTTCTTAAAGTATTAACTCACTGCCCATTTTGCCTCTCATATAACTAAAATGGCTCGGGCACAGACGCACTCATGTGCGCCACATTTCCATCAGCACCAGCAGGTTTGTTTGTAATAAACAGAGGAAGATAGAAGATGATCTGGGTCATTTAAATGAGGAGTGATTTTGCAGTGGTGTCACTTTCACAGAGTTAAAGTCTGAGACTCTCTAAAGCCCACAGCAACATGTGATATACCATTCAAATACAGAACTATAAGAGTTCAGTCTTTCATGGCAGTTTGTATTATCTCTATTTGTTTAAATTAAGTTTAAAAAACAAAAGAATATTTTGGTATGTGCAAATCTGTGGCGGCATGGCACTTGCTCTCCACGATACCAGAATAGTGACAGAAGGTGGCACATGCATGTTATTTTAATGAGAAGGTTATTTATGACTGCTTTGTTTGTCCCAGGTTTTATAATCCAATATGGTCCCAAATGTTTTACTTAGAAAATGACTGACAGTGCTTTCCTCACTATCAGTCATCTCCACTGCAATTTAGTTCACTTCTCTTCACCCCTCTGTCATCTATTGAAGAGCTCATTTTCTGTGTGTCTTCTTGCGTAGTTATGGATCTGGTGTATTGGCGGAGCGTGAGGAGGACTGCTGTGGTGTTCACAGGCCTGGTGATCGGTCTGGCCAGTATGTTCCAGCTCAGTGTTATCACCGTGCTCTCCCACGTATGTCTGGGTGCCATGTGTGTCACCTTCCCCCTCCGTCTCTACTATAAACTCCTGGAGCTGCTGCGCTGGAACCCCGGGGTCCACCCCTTCCAGTAAGTCTGCCAACGTTGATTTAGACATTGTTGGTTTGTTTTTTCCAACTTCAAGCCCACACTGAATGCTGCTACACTTGTATACTTCTATATGTCTTGAAACTTTTAATGATGTTAAACTTGTGGAAATGGAGGACGTCATTCTTTTGTATCACTTCAGCATGAACACAACTCTTTCTGTTCTTAAGGTTCTGTATGTGTGCCTCTGTCCCCAGGTCGTATCTGGATAATGACGCCTCTCTGACAGATAAGGAGACAGTGATGCTGGTAGAGGAAGTGGTGCTACTGATTGCATTTGCCTTCACAGAGATCAAACGCCTGCTTTTCATCGACAGCATGATTGACTCTATTAAGGTTTGAGTGTGTGTGATGATAAAATAATGACACAAACACCAACTAAAATATAAAAAAACTCACAAAACTACCTGCTATGACAACACTGGGCAGGCAGTGTATTGTAAGCTTGAGTTAAGCTTAAGTGACTGTGAGCAGTTTCACAGCTGCATAGTGTTGATTCACAGTGGGATCGGCAGTAACAATCCCTTCACGTCACAGGAACTCTTTTGTTTTTTTTCTGTGCTTTTTCTCTCAGTTTGTTGTTCTCCTGTATCTGCTGACCTATGTCGGTGTCCAAATCAATGGACTGACGCTGGTTATAACCGGTGAGTTCTTCCAAAAACGACTCATGAGTGTTGTCCAAAGGTCTGGTTAGGTTAAGGCAACACAATTTGTAACTAAAAATGGTTCGTTCTAAGGTAACAAAAAAAGCGATTCTTATTTTCAGGTGATTAATTAAATATTATATTCTATTTCTGCCAATATAGCCTCCTAAATGTTACACACTGGACCTTTGGTAACAGAAATAATTTCTCCTTGTCTTGGTTTAACAGCGGTCATCACCATTTTCTCCATTCCTCTGTTGTACAAAAAGCAGCAGGTGAGGGTTTCATTTTTTTCCACTGAACCTTTTGATAATATTACAAAACTGACTAACAAAAACATGTGTTAAAGAACTAGAAGTCAGACATAGAAATGCTTTGAATGCACTGACCTATCTGTCATTTTGGTGACAGGTGCGGCTGAGGAGGATGGTTAGAGCGGTTAAAGCTTTTGTGAAGAGAATTAAAAACATGTAAGTAACCTGCTCTTTATATAATGTTTTCTTATGTAATCTTAATTATCATGATAAAACAATATGATCATTGTCTCTTGTCTCTTTGTCTTTGTTGTGTTGCAGGTGCTTCAGTCTGTATGATTCAGTGAGACCCTCTCCTGCCTCTGAACCTGCCCCAAAACCTACACCTGCAGCTGCACCTGCCCCCAAACAGAAAGCCAAGTCCAAGTAACTTGTTGGTCTCATGTTGAAAGCACCAAGGATTTGGGATTTGGAAAATGTTGGAATGGTACATCCTCCGTGGGGCTGCTGGAGGGGCAGCTCATTTTCATTTCTCCACCATGATGTTTGTTTATGGGAGCACGATTTAATCGATCCTGACAGCTGAAACAAAGCTTCCATTCAATCAAGGACAGGGAGTGGAAGTGCATGAGGAGAAGAATTTTATTTACTGAGATGCTTTCTGTGGGCAGCATTTAATGTAACCAGTTCACACAGTCATCTACTCCAAGCAGGGACAGCACAGAATATCCCTGTTGTTGTTTTTTTCTTTGATAACAGGTCTATTTTTACACAACCAGTGAGCACTGTGTTCCTGTTGAGCTGCAGAATTATTCATAACGAAGCAGTGAAGCATTATTGCTGCTTTCATTATTTAGCATAATGTATTGTTGGCTGGGTAGAATCAAACTGACATGAAGATCACCCGCCATTAATTAAGATTAATGGTTTTGCGCTTGCTACATAACCTACGTAACCTAAGTATTAGAAAAAGCTTTTAAAGCAGCAGCTCCTTACAACTTTTGTGAGACTTATATGAGAAATAATAAGAGCAGTATCCTCTGCTCTCCATGCTAATTGCATTTAATGAGGTACAAACAGTCACTTCCTGCTGCTCTTGAGGCCTTCAAGTGATTAAAGGTACAAAGTGTACAAAGCAACTCTTAACAAGTGACAGCAACCTTAGCCGTCCGACAGTAACTCAACTGAATTGGGATTCATGGCACAAAGGATGATGCTTTATGGCACAATACAGCAGTAATTTCTATTTTGCAGATAAGAGAAAACTTTTTTGGCTGTTATATATGAACCAATAGTTTAAACTTACAATAACAGTTTTTTAGAGGCTGTGGAAACAAGATGTGAACACAACATTTAAATATCATCACTTTTTAAATTGATATAGTGAACTTGTTAGTAATCAGTTACACATCCAACAGGCACAGAGCAACATCAGCATTCATTTAGAGTTGTGTTTGTGTCCACCTGTTGAATATAAGTCCAATATTCACTCCATTTTTAGAGAGAGAGCTGCCGACAAATGCTCTCCGCTATGTTCACCAGCTGGTCATTAACTTTGTCTGTCAGCTGTTTGGTGCTAAGCAGACAGGGTACAGAGGGGTTTTAAAGTGTTTTAACATGAAAACAACGGATGCAGCTGCAAACCAGGCTTGAGAGCAGTGAGAGTGAACCAAAATAGCCAGCTGTAGGCCAGAAAACCAAAATAATGAGCTGAAAGATGCTATTCTCAAGAGCTGAGGGGGAATGAGTTGAGTCGGGTGATGGGAGTTTGTCACTAGGAATGTCTTCTTTCACAGTAGTTATTTAATCCACTGTTACTATAAAAATATTGATTATAGCTGCTTTAAGTTTGCCAGAATGTATTTGTCTATTTTTTTATTTGTAATGGGGCAATGGAACAAGAAATGCTCACCTTTGGATTGGCTCTTATATCTAACATAACTATAACTAACTAGACAACTTTAACTATTTTCATGTGGACACACCACCTCCACCCTATTTCAGTCTGTGTGAACCAGTTGCACTATAAGCTGTCTTCAGAGGACATTTCAGTAGATAAAACTACAATCTACAGATTTTATACCATTTATAAAGTATCATCATCAGGTATTAGACAAAAAGTTAGTTACTTAAATAATAGGATAGGATTGAGACACAAAATTTTGAGGCCTTGTCTCACTCCCAAAAATAAAACCAACAAATGAAGCAGCGTCGCAACATGCTGCTGACAGCTTGTGAAGAGAAAAGTGCTTGAGGGGCAGTTTGACAAGGAAGTGGAGGTCACTTTCATTACAATACAAAAATATCCACTTTAAGAAACCATTAAATTCCATTACTCTTCTGTTTCCAGTGCAGTTTCAGGAATTTAATGGACATCCTGAAGGTAGAATAATGGAGATCACTCCTATAGCATCTCAAGAACTTTCTCTTTGATAGTTTTGTCAGTCTGTAATATAACAATTTAATACTTGCAGCGAGGATCTGATGTTTGTCTGGCACAACTTTATGTCATCACTTTCCAGATCAACCAAACTAATCAAAAATGTGGTCCTTGTTTGTTTCCCACAAAGACATCACCATAAAATTACACAAAACAATTTGTTAAAGTATCAGTATTTTGAACAAAAGTAACAGTTCTCTATGAGTTAATTTACACAATTTAAACAAGCGACACTTCAGTTGTTACCCCCGACATGGGTAGTTGCACTTGTTAACTTGCTGTGCATTATGTGGACATTCAAACTTGGCCTGATTTCCTCCAACACTAGTTAGTAAATTGTCACTCCCATAAACGGTGACATCAGCGGAAAGACCAACAAAAATAGATTAGGGTTGGGTGTGTATCAATGGTGGCTTGTTAAAAATGTCCCGGTGCTTTAATTGACATGACGGCGAGTAGATAATGACAAAAGTTTTAATTCTGAGAGAACTATTCCTTTATTCTGACAACTGAATGGTTTTAGCTGCCAAATCTGAGCCAGTAAACTGTAAGCAGTTATTTCAGTGCAGCTGTTTAGCCGGCGAGCTGCTGTTAGTGTATTAGATTGATGCTGATAAACCACATGGTGCTCACTAGTGGTCAGTGTTTCAGAACTTAAAACGCAGCTGCACTCATACTAACATGTCTTAATGAACTGAAGTTATTTACTGTAATTTAACATTATGATCTTCAGACACCTGCTTATAGGGCAGGCAAAGAGGCCTTTGGTACTTTCAGTATGAAAAATAAATGTCAGTTACCACAAAGATTTTCTCACTTACTTTAGGTGGAATCTAGATCTGCATATAGTTTTAGTTTATTTTGCCCTGAAAACACTTTATTTTTGACTCAAAACCTGAAATCATGAAACCAAAAACTCTGAAATGTGTGAGAAAATTAATTTGGGTGAACCGACCTTTTAAAGATACACCCGTGCAACAGCTTACCATAGTAACAGCTGATATCGCTTCAAAAATTAAATATTTGTATCAATATAATATCCTTTTTATGGCCTAGTTTTGGCTGTTGATGTGGAATTGGCATCATTGTGATATTTTTCTATGTCACCTAATATAACTGTAAAATGTGCAACAAAATAAAAGTGTAATCATGATATCCCTAGAAAAATGCTTTACGTGAGGCACGACAGGGCTTAACCTAGATTGTTTGTTCTCTTATGGATGTCACTTTTATCTTTTGTTTTAGATTTACTTATTTCTATAGGTATTTATAATTTTTTATTGTTATTTCCTGTTGTTATGTTGCTCCCCAATAAAAGGTTATTTACTAAAAATGAAGGTAAGATTGCTTGGCACTCTGTTCCTCCAATTTAAATCTTAATCACTTTGTCACCTTGTTACTTGTGTTAACTCAATCATGTGAAAGCACATGTGTTACTAATAACATTAACAATGGCTCTGTTCTACTCAAGTGTCCCAGTAATTCAGGCCAAGGCCACAGTGAGCCAGTGTGCACAATACCAGGACTCTGAAACTGAAGCATCTACATAGAATCCAGCAATTAATTAATATTATTTATTTAAACCTTTACTTTTCTTACTGTGACACGTCAAAATGCCTTCTGTGAAAAAAGGCTTATTTAAAGAGAAGCCAACCATTAAAGTTAAAAAATGCAACACTGCATGCATATTTATTGTCTTTACAATTATATATTGTTTTTATCTTGAATTATGTTTAACAAGTGTGTTGTTGTCTTAAGTTTGTAAATTAATACAACAAAGAAATTAGTCAGATTTCTCTCAGTGCTTCCCTTTTTACCTGCTAGTTAATGTAATGTGACTTTCCATATATAAAAAGATCTTTGCTTAGTTTGTTTTGAAGTTATATTAGAATTACATGGCTCCTCCACTCTAAAATGTAGACACATCAGCAACTTTAAATACAGTGAGGTTCTCATCGACAGAGAGCAGCCAAGGGTCATATTTACTTTCTATACTCAGTGATGGTAATAAACTCACCACCAGCGGCTGCACTGACATATTTGACCACTAGGTGTTGCTCTTGGAGAGTGTCAGCTACGCCCCTTCACCAGAGGATGGAGAAACCCAGAGCATCAACTGATCTAAAGAAATAAATGACAAACATTTCAACCATCAGTGTGGTGTCAGTACAGTGTGAGCTTCGGCTCTACAAACACTGCATCAGCTACACTGAATGGCCCCGATAATAAAAACAGCTCCTCTGTCTGTTATAAGAAACACAGTGGATACAATGTGACTGTGACCTTGAGATGAATTTCCCTCAAACACGTCAATTCAAACTCTCTCTCAAACCTTCAAGGACTTCTTCTCTTGTTTTCACATGCAGTGACTCAGAGCTTCCATCTCTTTACTTTCAGGAGGTTATTAAACATCTTCATCTATTACACAGCTGTCTGTTTCTACACACAGTGAGAATAGATTATTTTTACAACAACATGCATTTTTAATACATAAATCAAACAAAACAGTTTACGACCATCTAATCTAGAAATGTAAACACTACAGTATACTATATACTGAGAGGGAATACCCCCAAAATGTCAATATGGCACTTTAAACAGTTAGGCCTCCAGATTATTATGATAAAACTCAGACATATTGTACAGGACTGTGAAGTATGTAATCCACTTTAACTTCAACAAACAGTGAATACGCAGCGCAGACTCCCCGCCACACGGTTTCTGAGTCAGTTTACACGTAACAAGTGCATTTCTCTACAGTAAAAAATACTGACATCAGTGATGTCTCACTTTACTGTTTCCCTGATTAGTTCAAGGTTACAACTCTACATAATTACACTGGCACAGAGGCTACGTTTAAATTTTACACATATACAAATCTACAGTTTCTGCTGCCAAAAAGCATTGTGTCATAACATTACAACAGAAAATCACAGAACTGGGACAGAAATACCTTAATTAATCCCTTCATGGTCTGTGTTGCAGTTAGTACATTTGGTCTCAGTGGACCTCAGCGGTTCGGATCTGACGTGGTTTGGTCTAGTGATATGCCTGAGAATAGAGTCTCAGATGTACTCTCTGACAGGGGGGAAGAGGGAAACCGTGTTTGGATTTTTGTGGATAATTACGACCTTCAGTCGTTTTCTACCTACAGCTGCTCATGTACAGTATACTGCACGAGCTGATTAGGAGGCAGATAATGTGAGTTTTGCTCTTTAAAGCACCGACTAAGTGATATCAAACGCTAAATACTTGTAAATACAGGATATTTGCAAAACAGAAATAACAAAAAAAAAAAAAGAATAAAAGGACCAGTTCGACAATACGACTCTGATGTCTGTTCAGTAAATATGAAGCTAGCGCCAGCAGGTGGTAAGGTTAGCTTAGCATGAAGATTGGAAGCAGGAGGAAACGGCTATCCGGGTTCAACCCAAAGGTTAAAATAAAATCATGTCACCTCTAAAGCTCACAAATCAATATGTTGTTCATTTAAATTATGATTGATGACTAATCATTGATCACATGATTAATTTGTACATACAAACTGAATTGTAAAAACACAGTTTGTGGATTTACGGGCGCAGTGACTTCCAGGAGTCTTGTCATCACTGTGAGGTTGCCAGGCAACCAGCAGAGATACAAGTAAATATAAAATGTTGTTTCCAGTCTTTGTGCCAAGCTAAGCTGTAGCTTCATATCTGACAAACCAGAGTCGTATCGATCTTCTCATCAAACTGCATCACCCAAAATGTTGAACTACTCCTATATGACAAATAACATTTAACAATGTTAAGTAAAAGGTGTGAAAACTCCTTGTGAAGAGAGCCGTTGCCCTCTAATGCTGCCAGCTGTTTCCTCCTCTGGATTGACGGCTCAGTGCATCAGGTGAAGCCTGTACACTCCATGTTACTCAGACAGAGTGAATGACTGTCAGGTGCTTGGTGGGCTGTGTTCAGGATGTCTGTCACACATAGTGTTCCCGGTGGTTGATGTACACCCGATCTGTCCCACTCTGATGACACACCCACTCCAGGCGGGACGGCTGCTGGGTGGGGCTTTGTATTCCTGGTGGTCCTGACCTTGTTGTGGGTGGGTGCTGCCCATCAGTCAGCTCGTACTGGCGCTCCGCCCTGCGAGTCTGCAGGGTTAAACAAAAGATTAACCTTCTCATGTGATTTCTTCGCATCGGACAGTCATGTTGAGCGTTAGAAAAAACAGGAATAGTTTTTTTCCTTCAGCCTCTTTCTGGGTGAGACTAAAAAAAGTACAGGCTTATGAAAGCTTGGGCTGAGAGCACAAATTAAAATTTAAACGACCCTACATATTAAATGAGTACAGCCATTAGGCCTCCTGCTTAATAAACACAGAGAATGACATTGGTCAGCATCTAGGATGTTATTACTTCCTGTTGGGACCCAGCACTCATCAATAGCTAACCCAGTGTTAGTCTTTGTGCTGTAGTGATACATGATGATTCAGATACACCTAAATGTGGTCATGAAAAGGGAGTGGGGGTTTACCTGACAGAGCCAGGCCACTTGTGATGCGTGGACACCCAGAGGAACAGCCGGTGCTCTCCCGCAGTAGGGAGGGGGCGGCTTGTGTGTTGGAGGAAGGTCAATCCTTCAGAGACAGAAAAAGAGAAACCACAATGAAGAGAGATTTTAGTTTTCCAGAACAGACAGATGCCTTAAAAGAGAAAACTGTAATTAGACGGAAGCAGCATAAAGCAATTAGTTTAGTGGTGCAAATTCAATTATTGGAAAAGATTTGAGCGGGGCTGCCTAAGGGAACACCTTTTGAGTCAAATGTTGCTTTCTCTGAGACAATCACCCTGGTGATGTCACAGTGATGTAATCTGGGTTATACTGGGTTGGGCCTTGACATTATATACATTTTTATAGAGAGTGGAGTTTTAAAAAAGTGGGAATTTACCAAGCAGAGGATTAAAAAGAAGATGCTATTGAGTTGCATTATGGGAGATGTAGGATCCAGCATTTTTGCAGCTTGCCCCACTCTAGGGAATAAAAGAATATTTCAGCCTCTGCTGCATCGATTTTGAGCTTCATGGAGGTACAATACTAAATCACTGGAGTGTCCCTTTAGGCAGTGGTATCCAGTGATACTAATGCCATCATGTCTAAATCAACAGGGTTTAGGATATTTGACAACATGGGTTTAAGGGTGATTGACTTTCATACGTGGCAGTAAACTGGAAGATTTTTGACAGCTGTTCTGAAATCCCTCATTGTTGCGAGTTCCTCTCAACCACAAGAGTCATTTTCTCATTTATTGAAATCCTCCACCACAAAACTTGAACCTAGAAACTGACCTTGACCATTCATAAAATGGTGTCATGACAGACATTGATTTTCTAACACTGTATATCACTCGACGCTGCTCTTCTCTTTCATACTTGGGATGAGAGGCGGTAAGAGATTATAGTAAGTGCTCTCAGTGACACGCTTCGTGTGTGATGAAGGAGAGGGATGAGGCCTGCATCCACCTGCCCCCCCCGTCATCCCACTGGGACTCCCAGCCACGGTCACACTTAAGATGCTAAGTTTGTCGTGGCATTGACCACAGACCAACACACGGCTAGATGCACCGTCCTGTAGTGTCAGCGTAGTGATGCGGGGAGCACACACATGCACAAATGTTAGTTGCCGATGTTCTGACAGTCAGCGGTGTCTGGAGGAGGGCCTTCATCGTCACTGTTTTAGACTAAAACTCAGTCTGAGGAATGCACAGCAAATGTCTTTCAAATTCCCTAAAAGAGGGTGCTGTCACTGAAATTAGGATGCAACATTTTACGGAGGACAGTATGTTTTGAGTGAGGAAAGGAATGTCAATGAGTGCTTTTAGTAGTAGAATACAATAGCTGAGGAAAAAGTGAAATAATCCAAAAGCCTTTAGTGTAACAATAACACAAAGTATGACCATTCTCTGATGATCAATTCTTCCTTTTGTGCTCCGCCATTATAAGCTCCAAACAGTTTCAGTTCCTTTTTCATACATCATTGCCGACATGAAATTTGTATTTTGGGAGGATTAACCAGGAATAACATTTACTCAGCAGCCTTCCTTAAGAGATGACTTGCTACATGCATGTAACTGTGTTTCCCTGGAGTGAGCATGCTCAATGACACACTAACAGGGATGGATGAGGGGATCAATCTGCAACCTTGCAGATATGGTCCACAGGTTCATAAAAATGTAATAATGTAAGGGGATAGTGAAGAGATTGGACGCATTGGACGCATAAAGTACAGCTTTGTGTTGCTATGTGGACTTAAATATTGCATAGAATTGAAACAAACCCTCACAGTTTCATCCATGTGCACTAAAACACAAAGAAGATCCTGCACAGGACTGTAATTTACAAACTGTTACTATCAGATCATAGACAACAGAGACAGATAAAACAAAGATCACACAAACCATTTAATGTCAGTCACAAGACTCTGGCAGAGTGCGACCCAGCTCCTGCTGTATATAAGTTATTCTTCTTTGCTCTAACATTAACATGAGTGCTGGTGCACTATAGGAACAGACTGAACAAAATAGGACAAGGGCTTGCTGCCAAGACAGCAATTATCTGCCACCCCTCAACCTTGTCCTGCAGCCTCCCTGCTCCAGGGCGCGCACCATTGCAGCACTCTCCACAGGAGTAAGTAGCAACTCCCTGAACCCACCGATGGGCTACAGTCAACCTCACAAGGTATCCTGTCATTAATTAACCAGCCGAGTGTGTTCTGTGGCATGAAATATTTGTCAGACTTACACTTTGTCTGTGAAGGCCGGGGGCGGGGCCTTGCGAGCAGTGAGGATCACGATGATGAAGACAGCGATGAGAAAGAGAGCAAGGACTGCACCCATCACAGCTCCGGCCACGGCGATAGAGTTTGACCTCTCAGCCTGAGACTGGTCTGAGAGAGAGCAGAGATAGGCTTTCAGTGTATTACAAAGACAGTAACATCAACATGAAAGTAGGTACAAGGCACAGAGTCAAAGGCCTGCTGTAAATGAGCTGAAGCTCATAATGTTTAGTTTTTGTAGCACGGATATTTGTTTTTTTATTTAACAAGGAAATACTGTTGCAAACAATTCAGACGTTGCAGATGACTTCTGTAGACCTTTTTTAAGTAAAAGCTTCAAAAGAGGGGTATTTAGTGACGTATTTTTATCTTATAGAACAAAATGTGAAATGATGGAAAAACTTGTTTCAGGCATCCAAATAAAAGCCTATACAAAAAACACACACAGACAAGCAAAAATGCTAACTCATCTCCAGGTTTTAGGACTGCAGCAGCTCCAGCAGACAAAGAATGTTACAGTTCATGTTTTGTTTATTTGTATTTTGGGAGGGTGTGTGTATGTTTGTGGTCTGACAATTAACATTTTAAACCTGCAACACGTAAGAGCTTTGTTAGCTAGAGCACAGTTTGTTCTGAAGAGCACAAACATGCTCTGAGTGTGTCCTCTGTCCGCCTTGTTACTCTGGAGAGGAAAGGTTTGACATTTGTTAGAAGAAAGGGGATAGAAAGATGTAAATGCCAAAAGAAAAGGAAGCATATAAGCCTGTAAAACCAAGTGACTGGAAAATATTAATGCTGAGGCCATGTCAAAAATATGCACAAAGGGAAATAAAAATGTCATATTCTTCTATCATATTTTATTAAAAAATACATTTTATATAAAAATGGAGCTTGATGAGACACATTGACGTGGTGAAAAGTGGTCAAATCTCAAAGGTGCACACACACCACACAATAAAACAGTGGCTATACTCTAAACTCACTTATTGCCTGTCAAAGGCTCAAGACTTAAAGCAACATTGTTTATTATCTTCTTTACCTGTAGGGGGAAACATTGACATAAATACACATCTGTCTGCAGGTCTTAATTATTGTAGGTGTACAAGTCTGAAACTGACTCAACAGCTGGAGAATCTGCAACTTGATTAAACAGATCGAGTTAAAGGAAACTTTATTTTGGGAAATATAAAAAAATGTAATATAATAGAAACTCTGCTTACTCACTCACTTGCTGAGAGTAAGTGAGAGGATTGATACCACTCTCATTGCTGTCCATTGAATGTAAAGCTATAGTCAGCGGGCCGTTAGCTTAGCTTAGCTTAGTCTCCAACTCCAGGAAGTCACCGCCGCAGCCGCACACCATAGGAGAAAACCACAATCCCGCCACCCATGCAACTGCAGTATTTCCGCTTCTGTTTTTGTACACAACAAACAAGATAAAATGTTTTAATTAGTGAGTTTTAGAAGTGCTGGATGGTGGATTTTATTACCTTTTGACAGAGCCAGGCTAGCGGTTTCCCCCGTCTTTATGCTAAGCTAAGCTAACCACATGTTGGCTGTAGCTTCATATTTACCGTACATTCATGAATGTGGCGCTAACTCTCATCAAGAAGGTGAACATTTCCCAACTATTTAAATTTGTTAAACAAGTCCCACTTTAAAACACTCCAAACTACTGCCAGTACATTAGCTTTTTGAATGGATGTTTCCTTTATGTGACTAAATCCGTATTAGATAATATGTATGTTCAGATTAACTAATATGTATAATAGGAGGGTGGCAGCAGTTTAATCCTGCATCGTATATCTTCACCTCCCTCCATCCATCCTTGTCTCTGTATTGTCCTTCCTCTGTCTTTTGTGTGTGTCGAGCTCTAGATGTTGATGTAATGTCTGCAGAATTAGCTTTGTTTGACCATATGCTTGCATACGCTCCATGTTGTCCAGTGAGGGGATTAGGATTAATTGTGATTAAGCAAGCTTTGACCAATCAGCAGTAATGTGTAAAACTGTGATTGTGGGACATTGAAGGAACTGGAGGACAAAAGGTGACGGGTGGAAAAAAAGAAAAACCCAAGTGTGTGATGGTCAATTCCAGTTGATTTAGCTGTTGAGGTGGGAGGGGGGGGGATCAATAATGTGCTGAGATGAGAATCCTAAATAACAGTTCAATTATGATGCAGATTGAACAAGCTGGGACTCATGAGCTCGCCCCTGAAAGCCACTTCTTCCTCCTTTTACCCCCTCCCCCTCTTCCCACTTCTCCCTTCATGCCGTCCTCTACCAGTTAATAGCCGTTCGATTACCTTTGATGGCTGCTGAACTATGACAAGAGCTTCTTGAGCTGATCAAAACGCCTTTAAAAATGCAGTTCATCAAACTGTCTGCTGTAATTCCTAGTGACATTTTCACAGACATTCATGATGGAAGGAATAAAAAGTGCTTTAAACCTGCAACGCATAAAGCACCTTAAGTTGTCTTTAATTCAGGAGTATACCTCGTTTATTAAACATGAATCAAAATTATTTGGGATAAATATATTCATGCATCGTCTGTTTTTCCTCCATTTAAACATTTCATTGGTCCAAATATCATCCCTTCTGGAGGGGCTTAGATTAGTGGTGTTAGTGGGGGATCAACTGTCCCCAAACTGGGATCTGGCTCCGGTGCAAGGCTCTTTCTGTCTCTCTTACTTCCACACACACACACACACACACACACACACACACACAAAACCGCTGCGAAGCCAGGAAAAGTGCATGCCGATGCTGTGCGAGGTCAGTGTAGCAGACAGGCTCATCATGAATTAAACAGTGCACCTTGGTGGCATGGGGCGGGAACGGAGGGACGGCAAGGCAACCTCCCACCCCCACCCATCTTTAAACCTTAATAGCAGGTTCAAGGGGTCATGCTGTTGCCCAGACAAGAGAGCCCTCAGGGAGCAGATGTTGGAGTAGTAGTGGGGGTGGGGTGGGGGGGTTAGAGCAGTAGGTGGTCTGTCATTTTTCTCTCTGACATCTATTTCAATATTTTCAGCTCAATGATGGTGACAATTTGTTAATATCAAAGTCTCTCTCTCTCTTACACAGTGCTGCATCCCTCTACGCTGCCTGAGACGTTCGCTCACTCCTTTGTGGATTGTGAAAAGTATCCTAGGAAACTGTTGTGTATCGCAGGCGAGAAACAAACCCACTGATCTCCTACACGAGCGTCTCAAACAAACTCCGGCATCGCTTGGCTGACATCATTACTACTGAGCCCGCTTCACTTTGGTAAAGCTCCACCATGTATTCTCAGACTGAGCATGCCCCGTTTCAAGGTCAGAAAGACAGCAACTGCTGTGACCATGATAAGATCTGCGGAAGACAGAGAGGTCAGCTGAAATAAAGACTTTTAGAGCAAGTGTGTCTTGAGGACCTGGAGTCCGAGCTAAACAGTGTCAAGGTCACATCTGCGTGATATGTCCTTATAGCCAGAGGAGCTCTCTGTAGTGCAGCGGGGCGTAATGGGCCATTTTCAATTCCAGTGGCTAATTCTCCCTTTCTGCTCTGCCTTTCACAGCAGCACAGTTAAACTCTAAGCTCCACGCAGCCCCCCTTGCATCCCTCTCTCCCTCCGCTTTCTGTGGCCAGGTAGAGCTTGTAGGAAGACAGCCTCCCATCAGCAGCTCTAGATGAGCTTGTTGCCATGGGGACAGTCAATGGGCTGGAGAGTGGGGACTTTGGGCCAGACATAAACACTCAGCATTTAATTTTACCAGCTGGTAGACAGTGGGAGAAAAGACACAGAGGGGGGGGTGAATTCACAAAGGAGATGAGCTATAGGGAAGAGTGAGGGCCTTTCTGTCCTGAAAACAAAGCAAACTAGGACTGAAGGAGAGAGCGAAGGAGGTGCTGGATCTCCCCCGACTACAGAAATACCAGTGGCGAAGAACACTATCAAAGCCTTCTTGGATACTAGAGAGTAATGAAGATAAGCTGAAGTGAGGAAACATGAATTACATCATGTGCGGCGTCCCACATGTGCGCACTGGATTGGGGTGGGTATCGCAGCATTATGCGTTAGGGAGCTAGAGATGATGTCATTTATAGAAGCACAAAGAGGAGCAGAGACTGAGCAGTCTGAGTAATGGCTTAAAAAACCTCCAGAGAAAATAACTCACAGGTGCTAAGGTGCTTTATTGAACTAAAGTATCTCAAAAAGATTGACAAAATAATGCTCCACTGTTGTCACAGACATAAATATTTTTTTTTTTCTCCTTCCAGAAACTTACATTTTCTCCAGTATATACAAAAACATGACCACAAGGTGCTTTTCATCGACAATGTGAGACTGAAGTTAATTCTTCACTCGTTTGAACAACAGTGCTTCTACAGAAACCAAAACCCCTGACAGATACCTGTGAAGTAGAGATCATTTAACTCATTTTACATCAAAATTCATTCAAGCTTTGTATTTTTGTGTGTGTGTGTTTTAATGCCTCTAGGTTTGCAAATATACTGTGTCGTGAACTGTCCATGGTGACCAGGGCAGAAAAGTGAATATGGCACTATGGAGTCTTCCTAACACACCAATATGCTGCGACAAATCAAAACAAATAAATCTCACAAAACAACAAAACATGTTCTTACATCCATAAGTAAACAATAATAAGAAAACACTTAAATTTCTTCTTCTAGGCATCTAAGGCACTAGTGTATTTCTCAACCCAAAGTGAAGGATATTTCTCAAGGTAAAGATATTGATGACTGATCTCTATACAAAATGTCACAGTACAAAAGAACTTCATTAATCCAGGGGTGCAGACTGACGAGTCAAGCAAAAATAGTATATTGATTAGTGGAATTTCTGTCTTAGTGCATAGAGGCAAACACATGGAGGGGGTCTGGCTGCTGCACTTCCTGTTATTCTCTGCATTTATGTGAAAGGTACCGGAAACGCAGAATGAAAAAGGCATCAGCAGCATGCCCACCCTCAAAACGTTTAATTCAACAATCTAAACAGCGATTGATATGCTCTCATTAAAGGGTCAGTTCACCCAAATTAAGAAACACACATTGTCACTTACATGTATGTATGTGCAGATAGTTTGGGATTTATTAACCCAGGTTCGTAGATATGTGTCTCTCAGATTTCAACCTCCACCCCACTACAATAAAAGGTGGATAGAAAGTTTGTTTGTGAAGCTCATGACACTGAAAAACTGCATGACGGCAATTTTACAGGATCATCTCTTTACAGACACATTGTTCTGGTTAGTTAAGGTGCTCCACACTGTAAATGTTTTATCCCTGGAACTACATTCTACCAAAGAAATTGTGTTTTAGGCAAGAGGAAACTGTAGTAGAAATCTGTTAATGTATTTGGAGTGAACTGAAACTTAAGTAGTTGTTGGAATTAGAAGCTTTTGACTTATGGAAATAAATTAGTTCTAGTGTACCGCACAGCGTTTGAAATGAGTTGAAATTACATGAATTGCAGTACAGGGGTCATATTCTCTGCTTGCAAGTTACAGTGGCACATTATCAAATCTCACTGAGAACTGCAGCCTATTCACTGCACAAAATTCACACCCTGACAAATAATTAGCGAGGGTTCATACGGATGTAACTAATTCCCATTTTGATGACTGTTACTGTAATATTAAAGTGGCCTACAGCATCTTTTCACTTCTACTTCAGGCTACAAGACCTTGTATACAACAGTGATACGTTAGTCATTTATATAAGCTTATAATCAGTTGTTAGCTAGTCAGCAATACTTATGTGAGACACTGTCATCATATTTATACATACAAGTTAAACAAATATTTGGCATCCGGCAGCAAATATTGTATATGTGACCATACTAAGTTGGCATGTATTCACAAACACTAGTGTACATGAAAGAAACTGTTGGATCTCCTCCATGCTGTCTGGTAAATAGGTGCATGTGCCAAAAATACTTAAGATTGTATCTGTGTGTACCTGATCACGTTCAAAAACTGAAATGTATCTTCTATAATAAAATCCTCCTCCATAATAAAACACATTCTCCTCAGTTCAGTCACAGTACTTGGTGTGTCCTGCTTTACCGTTTGAGAGTCTTGATTAGCAATGAAATGTGTCTGGTTACAAGAGAATGCAGATTTTAGTGTAAATCCAGCCATTAGAAAAAAAAAAAAAGAAAAAAGAAGAGCACAGGTGCATCATTTTATAGCCACTATATAATTATGAGACCTAAAGAAGATTTAATTATCAGTGCAACTAAATATTGTCTGTCCCATGGCTGCTAAAAAGATAAGTGGAGGTTTTGATAACCACAGGTGACAGTGGCAGCACTTTAATCACATCATGTATATTTTACTGTGGTAATAATAATAATAATAATAAATGCTAGATCTAAAGAAAACTGGTGAACATGATTAGAGCGTGCAGTTGCACACACGGAGTAAGTAACAGAAAGCCTATTAAAGGCCTTAGATTGTAATTGTGACACAGTCATGTCTAGTTTCTAAAGATTACTCAGAGAAGTGAAATGAGTCCATCGGAGGTTATTTGTAGTAGAGTGTACTGGCTGCACTCTTGAATGATTTCTTTGTGTAACAAAATACTTTGTGAGTAGGAGGCCAGTGTATGGTGGCTGCCATACTGTAGCCTGCTTCTGACAATGCCCCTGCTAATAGCTCTCTTTAACCTCCAAGAGCCCTGGTTTGGTGCCAGAGTGCAAATTCTCAAACACATCCGTTATAACATTATTATGACAGGAGAATGTGTTTGTGGTTAACTGAAGAGGACAACTAACCTGAAATGATACCCAAAATCAGTAAGTTACACAAATGTTAAAAAGGTTGAACAGATGTAACATTATTCCAGCTTATTTAAACTTGCAGAATTTTGTAGCACATTTGCATATCAAGGCTTGACTGTCTGTTGTTACAGTGGACGGAGCCTCGTTCACGCAGACCTCCCTGCTTGCCCTTTGTGCATCCTTCCCTCCTGGGGATAAGAGATGAGCCGAGGACATGAGTAGAAATGCTCTTAAGGTTCCCACCACTCTAAGCCATCAGTTTTAAAGGACATAACTAGGACATCAGTGGTCAAGTCCTCAAGCTCACAAGTTTCCCATCGAGTTACATAAAGGGTAGACATTTTACTAGAAAATAAATGATGTCGTTGTCCATTATAAAGTTTTGCAAAAGGCAGTGCAATACGATTCATGAGCATTAATCAGTGTGTCATCAATCATAAAGGAATTGTTTTTTTAAATTAGCCTATTCACCTCTGCTGTGTCCTACGTATGAGTTTTGGGAAAAAGGACCTGTGACCATCTGAACTTCATGGATTTATTTCTAGTCATATTCAGAGGTCACAGATTTTGTGTATAAGTGTAAGCAATAAGTACCGCATAGCCTGAGAGGGCTCATTTTGTAGAAGAAAAAACAAAACCCAAACAACTTTCTTCTACACCAATCAAGTGTGATCAGTTAGCCCCCGGGGCTTCCACCCAACCAAAAGACAGTGATGCTAGATCAGTTGGCAGTCCATGTAGTAAGGCAGAGACAGGACATACATCATGAGCTTTAGTTAGTCTCTACACACAAACTAGTGACATGCCCACTTCTGTAGGCATGCAGATGTTGACTGTCAACGCGGCCGTGCAGTCCACAGTCAGTCCACATCAAGAACAGAAACATTATAACTCAAGTGTCGACCAGGACGCTTGAACAAAACAAGGGAACAACAGAATTGAGATTAGTAGAAGTGTGCATGTGCGTACAGAAGAGAAATTATTTGTTTCTTCCTAATATAATAAAGGAAACCCTCTGGCTCCTGCAGGACCAGGTAGCTTGTCAAACGTACCACTCCCTACGTGAGATGACAGACCCGTCTTTATGAGAGACATAGTCACCCTCGGGCCCACTATCGTAGCAGTCATCTGACACGTAGGGGGAGCCGTTTCCCTGTGGTTTAGGTGAATGAGGGTATCTGGCACATCTGGCCTGCCGCGGACTAGAATACTGTGTGTGTTCGCGGTGGTGATTCTGCTGTTGGCTGCTCTCCCTCATTGCCCTGGTGTAGCCATTAGAGGGATATTCCTCTCCGTTGTAGTTGCTATGGTGACGGCGGTCACGCTCATGTTTGAGCTGGCGGTCACCCCACTCCTCTCGGTCATGGTCCTGATGGTGGGAGCTGCTGCCTGCTTTGGTAGGGTGGAGCTCATGCTGCGTGGGCGCTTTCTGGAGGTCATTGGGGCCCAGGTAGTGCTTGGTGTAGTAGTTCCCGTGGAAGGTCTGCTGTTTCCGTAGGTAACACACACCAACCAGAGACAGAAGTAGTAGCAGGAACAAGGCCCCGCCCACAGCCCCACCCACTATGGAACCAAGATTACTCTCAGGAAGGGCCTCGAGTGTGGGGAAGCTGAGGAGGACATGCCCCTTTTCATCCACTAAGGTGGAGGAGGCAGAGCCAGTAAGGACAGGAGCAGTAATGGTGGAAGGCATGGTGGGAGGATCTAATGGAGGGAAGGAGGGTGAGAGGGGAGTAGAGGGTGGAAGGGAGAGATGAACAGACAGAGAAGCAGAGAATGTCAATGCCAACTACATCAGCATTTTGCTACGTAGGGATAGGTTGACAACTAAACTACCACACATACTAAACTATGGAGTACGTGCATGCAGCAGCCTCGGGTTAGCGCTTCATTCTAATCTAATGCTTCAGAACTTGTGGCTGCAGTCTTCGATTATTCACCAATTATTGTATACAAGTAAAACATGAAAAACTGAAATACATCCCCATAAAAAAATATAATTTGGTATAATGGGCTGACACAACTGACACATCAGAGGATGGACCAAGCAGAGTTCGAGCAGTGCTACCATTAAGATAAAGAGCACCACATCCCTGGCAAGGTTTTTATGACTGTCACCACAAGACAGTGTGTAATACTCTCCAAAGACAAAACCCACAAATCACAGTTAATTATAGACCTGAAATGGCTCATACATTTTGGTTAAAGATTCAAGAGAATACTTAGTATTCCTTGGTCAAAGTAGGCCACGTTGTCACCAGTTCAATAATTTAACAATTAACATGTAAAAAATCTTTAGATATCCCTTACTGATTGTTGTTCTGTATTAGCATCTGTGTGTCTTGCTAACAAAATCTTATTTTAGTACAGTTTCAGGTATTTAAGAGCGAACCAAAGGCTACTGAAGAAATTGAAGATTACTGAATAGAGTATATTGTACACTACAACAGTGAAGGAACAACAAAAACCTGTCTTTCAATCCTTTAACTGAAAATGTATTGTACTTCTTCTGGCTGCCAGAGGCAGTGCTTTCCACCTGGATATTCAATCATGCACACAGTCAAGTACTTAAGTCAACAAAGTCACTTGTAACCTAGGTGATGTATGCCAAGGTTTCTATAAAGGCCTGAACACTCCTGTAATGTTTCATCTCCATCTTGTCACAGTTGCTCAAGCAGATCATATTTCCAGGGCAGTAATAGTTCTGTGAAACTGTTGACACTTCTAAGTCTCATCACTTACTGTAGTAGGCAGGCTACAGGTTTTTTGACCTAAAGAGGCTGCAAACAGATTTCAGCTTTGGGAGGGTATTACTTGTTCATTCTCAACTGGTAGCTTAGGAGGGTCTTCCCTTGGGGACATGCCACATTTTAGGATTGTGTATTGTATCAAAAGGCCAGAGATGTGTTGTCACAACCACCTTTAAAGCTTCATAAGCACAGCTTTGTAACTGGTGAGTAAGTCATTTCTTGCTTTGTTAGCAGATGAGCTTCATCTGTGTAACACATTACCCTAAACCCTCTATCTGCAACTGTCAAGTAAATATATCAGTGTCAGATATCATTTTGGGTGACTGAAATGGCTTAAACAAAAGGTGGTGTGGTCAGGATCCTGGGGTCACTATATGCAGATAGGGTAATTGGAGACAAGGTGGACATATCTGTTGAAGAAATAAAAAGGAAATTGCAATGGGTGACCAGAAGACTAGAAACCCACTGTAATGTTATCCAGCACAACAGTTATGATTAGGGCTGTGTGTGTGTATTAGAACACCAACCTTAAAATGAACTGGATTAGGGGTGATGCCCACAAAACAGAAAAGCCAAAAGACATAATCAGAAGGAGCTGAAGTAATGGAAAGAATCTGAGTCTAAAAGCTTTAATGGTGCTGCAAAATTGCTCTGCCACTTTAACCTCGGTGCCAAGCCAGATGTGTGGAAAAGATTCACATCTTAGAGATGACAAACATGAACCTGAAGGTTTGTAGCATATGAATCGTAAAACTCCCAAGCAGAGGCAGTGAACTGACATGTGTGAGCACAACCACAGAAACACATACAACGGAGAGTATACCAACACGCGTAAGCTCGCACACACACCCGTACAGGTCCTCTCAAAGGAAAATGAAATATGGATGATAAATAATAAATAGGAGTTGAAAAGAACTAGTTAATGTTTTATGAATCTGGGACATCATCTCACAGTCAGGCTGCAGGCTTTTGCCTCTTACTGCATGACACATGCAGAAATAAAAGAAACACAGAAAGGAAGAGAGAAAGATGTAAAAGAAAATCCCATCATAATCAGAACTCCATTCAGGAAGAGAGCCTCCATAGACAAGACAGATTTTGTGAAACCAGAGGAACATGCTCCTCATACACAAAGTGAAAGAGACACGACATACTTAGATGTACAAGTATGTACAAGCCAAGAGGACAGAGCAGAAGCAGAGCACTGTGGTCTAAAGAGGCCTTAAATATTTGCAGCTGTTTGGCACTGGAACTCCCCTTTTGAACATCTGGAGACCCAATGTTAATCAAGGCTAATCAGCATGCAATTAAGACTAAATGAAAGGGTCAAATATTATCAGTGCCAACACACTGTACCACACTTGATAGACTGTCGGTACGTACAGAATGGGCGAGAGTGATACAGTGTCACATTTCAGCTTGAAGGACAATGTCACAGGCAGTGATGATACCCTCTATGACGTGCGTGCACTGTGCTTCCTAAGGGAAGAGCAGGCAATAGGAGTCAGCTGTGTTCTGGTGTGTACAGTCCACTCACCTTGTATGAGAATACGCACATCCCGACTGCGGAGGTTAATGTCATTGGCAACCTCACACCTGTAAACTCCAGAGTCATTCCGCTGGAGGGGACGCAGGAAGAGCAAAGTGCTGTTCATTATTTCCACCCCTTCTGGCATTTCACTGTCCAATCTATGATACACAAGAGAGAAACATTTAGACACACAGACACACCTACACAACTATCCAGATATGTAATCCTGTACATGTGATAAATAATTGAATTGTGACTTGAAGGTTTTTGGATGAGTTAAAGATATTTAAAAATATTTTAAAAGTAAGGCAAGTAAGAACTTTACTTTTCCGTTGCTAATCTTCTAGTTAGCCTTCAGTAGTGTGTCTTTCAAGTTTACTACAACTCAGCGTTTCGGCCTACTTGGTCCATTTTAACACATAAGACAAAAGGGCGATGTCATACACACATACCTGATCCATCTGAAGTGATGAGCCGGTGGGTTTGCGTTGGCCTTGCACATCATTTGAACATTTTCCCGTCCCACATACCAGTCTCCATCATAGCCCACAACTGAGATATCAGGAGCAACTACAAAGAGAGAAAAACAACAACAGCCACAAATGATTGAGATATCACTACAAACTGGCCAGAAACCTGACAAACACTGTTCAACCAAGTTAGATTTTCATATTCTAAAAATATTTCTGCTACATGGAATTTGCATCAGCATACACATCCAAGATGACCATTTTCCTAGGCTGTGTGCAGCATTATATGGAGTCTGAGGTCGGTTATGGCCTAGAGACATGAGCCTGTGTCCTCTAAATACGCAC